TAATGTGTAATTTCAAGTTTCTGCATTGATTTAAGCATGTTTCGAGAAGGAAATAGGTGGTGCTTCGTTCTGAATCGAATGGCGCCGAAACCCTTTGTTTTGACTGACGAATAGAAGGGAACTTTTATAACAGTGAAATGCCAATTTCCGTTGGTTTCTGTATGCCAACAATATAAACTAGAATATGAAAATCATATAAAAAATGACAAACTATTCGCGTTTTCCCGTACATATTTCTACGCTTAGATGTATTCTGAAATATTATTTTAATCATGTGTCTTTCTTTCAGATTGTCCCGAACCTTTTGAAGCGATTGGCGTGGGATGTTACTATATTAGCGAGAAATCACTTAACAGGTATGAGGTTAGGAGAGGAGTAGAAGATGAATTCCTTGTTGAATGTGTATTCAGGGGCACCGGAAGCACGGGGGTGGCGGGGGTATCACTGTGTCCATGTGAAAATGTCATTGTATGTGTACAGATTTGTATGAATATGATTTGACAATGGATTATGCTATTTGGATCAAATAGTTAGTGGTAGTAATGTGTAATTTCAAGTTTCTGCATTGATTTAAGCATGTTTCGAGAAGGAAATGGGTGGTGCTTCGTTCTGAATCGAATGGCGCCGAAACCCTTTGTTTTGACTGACGAATAGAAGGGAACTTTTATAACAGTGAAATGCCAATTTCCGTTGGTTTCTGTATGCTTTTCTGTGATCTTTATGCACAGAATTAGAAGTCTTCCGTTGGTGCTGGGAAATGTGTAGTAAAAAGGAAACCACAACAGAAATTTAAAACGTTACACAGCACCTCTACTTTTAGTACAGAACTTCGTATCAAGTCATGGCTGAGGTCTAATATGACAGCAAACAGCCTTAGAGACCTTTTGTTTTTGTGTTATTAATAACCAGGGCATTATGTTTTTGTTCAGTTTTCTGCTGATTCATAACTTTTTTATAATAAGTGAAAATGTGCCCTTTTTGAACAGCTGCCCCCACTGCCTCAAAAAAAGAAGAAAAAAAAAATAATAATAGTAATGATAATAATAATAATAATAATAATAATAATAATAATAAATAATAATAATGAGGATCTAATGCCGTTCTAATACCATCTAAAGCCGTTGTGATGATGCGTTTTCTATAGTTTTTGAAGGAAGACGTATCTAACGACGAATAGCATTTCCGGTATTATCTATATGAATTCCACTGAATTATTTATTTGTTTTTTTTCTGTATATTTACTTATTCATCTTTTTTCATTTCAGAGCGGATGCCGAGGCGGAGTGCGCCAGCCTAGCCCCAGATGGCAGCACATCCGGCCTGGCTGTTCTCAGTGACTGTCACCAGCATGGTATCTTGTGGAATCACATATGTAAGTTGCTTGCCTTCACTGTTCTATAGTAATGCATGACTTGTTAGATAAATTTAATGTTAGATAAATTTAATGTTAGATAGATTTAATGTTAGATAAATTTAATGTTAGATAGATTTAATGTTAGATAAATTTAATGTTAGATAAATTTAATGTTAGATAAATTTAACGTTAGATAAATTTAATGTTAGATAAATTTAATGTTAGATAGATTTAATGTTAGATAAATTTAATGTTAGATAGATTTAATGTTAGATAAATTTAATGTTAGATAAATTTAATGTTAGATAAATTTAACGTTAGATAAATTTAATGTTAGATAGATTTAATATTAGATAAATTTAATGTTAGATAAATTTAATGTTAGATAAATTTAATGTTAGATAGATTTAATGTTAGATAGATTTAATGTTATATAGATTTAATGTTAGATAGATTTAATGTTAGATAGATTTAATGATTAGTAGGACAGTTCTTTCGTTTTAGCTTCATTTTACTTGTGATGCGTCGGTTGATGATGTTTTTCGCTCTCTCTTCCTCCCTTCTTTTATCTTTTCTCTCTTCTTCCTGTCTTCTCACCTTCTCTCTCTACTCAAATCCTCCCCATCATCCCCTCTCCCCCTCTATCCCCTCCTTTTTTTCTTCTTTTCCCTCCTTTTCCTCCTTCTCCATCTCCTTTTTTTTCATCCTCCTTTTCTTCCTCTTCCTCAACCCCACCCTTACCCTCCCTTCACCCCCACCCCAACCCTTCGCCCCCACATCCACCTCCTTCGCCTCCACCTCAACCACCACCACTCCTCCCACCACCCCCTCCACCCTCCTCCTCCACCCCCTCCACCACCTCCACCCTCCTCCTCCACCCCCTCCACCACCTCCACTCTCCTCCTCCACCCCCTCCACCACCTCCACCCTCCTCCTCCACCATCTCCACCCTCCTCTTCCTCGACTCCACCTCCTCCTCGACTCCACCTCCTCCTCGACTCCACCTCCTCCTCGACTCCACCTCCCCCCTCCTCCTCCACCTCCTCCTCGACTCCACCTCCTCCTCGACTCCAGCGTTGAAGTGGGACTACTGGCTGGGCGGGAGCGACGAGGCGGCGGAGGGCGACTGGCGGTGGTCCTCGGGCG